TAGTTTAATTTCAACGAGCCTTAAATCATTATTAATTGTTTCAATTTTTGATAATGATTGAAAAGTTCATAATTGTCAAAAAGTTTTTAAATTATTTTACAAAAAATGTGTTTTTGTACCTACTTGCAACTTCTCACAATCTAAGATAACAAGTGAGACTTGGTGATACCATTTTTATATTTTAAAATGAATATCAGATTGCAGGCATCTTCCAAACAGATATGACAAGTTTCCACTTGTTTGTCTAATGTATTAGCAGAAAGATAGTCATGGCGATCTGTAAAAATTACAGAATAATTGATAAATATCTAAATATAATATCTTATTAGAGATAATAGACTAGAGTATTATGGAAATTTTATATTTCTGTGCCTTTTCTTCAAGATCTCCGAGAGTATAATAAGAAAAGAAATTTATTATAAAAGAGATTAACTGTCCGGAAGAGAATAGCTTCCTGTTGTGGATTTACGTATATATTGTCTTCAATCTTTGCCAACATGTGTACTGTTTTTGCTAAAACTGTGTCAAATATAGAGTAGTGCATAATAGTCTGTAAAGTAAAAGTTAGTTGAGTTAATAAAACTTTTTTATATAATATCTGCATGTGTGTTATCTGCTCACTCATAATAATAACCAATCTGTCTGATCATACAAAAAGAGAGGTTAGATAATTGTATGAACTCATAACCATACTTTACCAGTAGGAAACTAATATCTTGTTCATGATATTCTTTTAATTCGATTTCTCGTCTTGCGTTCTCTCCCCTAGTGCGCTCTCTCTTTCTTTTTCTCTCTTGCTCGCTCGCTCGTTCGCTTTCGCTTACACTCATTGCCTTCTTTTTCCTTCTTTCAACTCCCGTAACCATACTATCTGTTAGCAAAAATGTGAAGATGCACATTCCTAAGTGTCCCACGACGATGAAAACGTTTTTTAATTGTAATTTTCACACACATTTCGTCTAATTTTCCATTATCTTTATTCAGAAGCCACAAAACAAAACGCAAGAATACTTTTCTTTAAATGTTTTATTCTGAAGCGAATAAAACCTCGACTAAATTGATCGGTTTAGTCGTTCTGTAAACATGTCCCGAGAAAATCTCCTCACTTCTCAAATACCTGAATTTTGCATATAAGAGGCACTACTGTGGCTCTTGATAACAGAATTTTCTTACAATCAATCGAACGTTATTTAAATGCATATTATTAATATATAGACAAGAGATAAGAAACAATTAAAGACACAATATTTATTTCTCGTCGTTATTTCTTATCTTTGTACGCTAAAATTGTATAGAGACAGCACATTTTCGGTTATAAGCGTACATTTCCGAGTGTCGCTGAGTAATGGAAACCGCCGCTTAATTGCTTAATTGAACTTGTGACGTTCCGTATAATCAGGATGCTGTCGTTTGAACGCATTTATAATGCACCTACGCTACTTTGCTCGGTGACTCTCAATACCAGTTTTGAGATTCTTCTTATTTTCTTTGTTTTGAATAAAAGGGACATGAGTACGGTATGAGTACGAATGGCCAATTAGAAAGAAAATGTAGTAAAAAGCTCGCACCATCCGCTTTCACACGACGCGATTCTTCACAAAAGAATCGAAGCAACAAAAAGAGAATTCGTTTGTGTAGCTTCTTTCATTAAATTTGTAAAATAAACAATAATATAGTCCTATTATTTAAAAAAATTTATATTTTTATCATTTTTATTTAATTCGGTCGACAGTTTGTCTGACAAAAATATAACACCGGCAAATATATTTTATCTGCGGTATTTGCTAGTAGGCTGATTTTACGATCTAGCGCTCTAGAATAGTTTTTAGATTTTTTTTCGCTACGCGTGAACGCAAAGTGACGACAATGTGAAGAATTCTTTGGAATGAACGATATGAGAAAGACACGAAGAGAGGCGAAAAGCCCCAGGATATTTTTTCAAAGTGCGGATTTATTTTTGGGAGACAAGATTATATTTCGGAAATAGCATCCCGTGTGTATTTTTGATATTTTCTAACATGGAAATTAGAATATTTTTAAAAAGACATAGAAGTACGTGAAAGTGTTTTTTAAAAAATAAAGTTTTACGGCAAAAAATTTTTCTTTGAAAAATAAATTTTTACGGCAAAAGATTTTTCAAACTCTACAATAAAGAGCTTTAATTACATTTAACAATTCATAGATTAATAGTAATGTTAACTTGTTTAAAATCAAAGCTCTAATCTTAACATGCGCATTATGTAATAAATAATTATTCGTGCTTGTATGTAAAGTATGAAAATAGGATCATATATTACAATAAAGTCTCGCCAAGATATACGCTCACATTTCAAATGCTCTTTGCACGTGTGTATGTACAAACATTGTATAAAAACAGCTGCAGTAGTGAACCACTCGCTCGCTCACTTCACTGTTTCGTCACGCCTTCGATGTATGGATGGAAAAATAGACAGTAATCAATAATAATTAAATCTAATAGGTAAGAGGAAACTATATTGTACCTCGAATCTAACTTTTGGTATTTTAATTTTTTATTTGCTCAGTAAATCGACTTGTGTAAGACTCGCATTATCTATGGAACCACCGATTTTCAACGATAAAAAAACTTATCAGTCGAAAACTTCAGAAGTTTTCCCAAGCTTTAACTAGTAATATTGCATTCTTAAAATTTCATACACAAATGCGTCATTGATGAATTATTTTTTTACTGATGAAGTCATGAAAGATATGACAAGTTATTTAAAAATAATGATATAAATAAATGTACTAAACACCGTTCTCAGTTGACGAAGATGTACTGTGAAAGTTGATAAACAACACTATGTATTCAGACGAAGCATAAAATCAATAAAATACACACATTTTTCTTCTTTTCTGTTCAACTAACTGAAGATTTAGCGATTCTCAGAAGAGAAGAAGAAAATAGAAACGGTCGCTCGCGTTTGATTCAATCTGTTGAACTCTAAATATATAGAAAAATCCACCGTAGTTTTAACTTTTATGAAAATTTATTTATTTTTTTCAAATGTGCGGTACATACATCTTATATTGACTAACATGTCTGAAATAGGTTCAAAAACATCAGTCTATACGCGTTAATAGTTTTAAGTAAACGGCACAAAGTTATTTATCTGATTAAAGTCGACTTAATTTCTTTCCAGTTTTACATTGCAATTATTATTTAAACTATGCACTTTTAACGTCATAACTAATAAAATTGGGTTTGAAAATTGTGGCCACATGGATTCCGTGGTAAGTTATGGTATAAGAAAGAGTTTACAGTTAATATAGACTGAAAAAAGTTTTCTCGGAATATGAGATGCCAAGATGATTTGCGGATTTTTTAATGAAAATTTGACGCTTTTGAAGGCAATCTTTGATACACTTGTGTGTTTCATTTTTGAGACAAAATTTTCAACAACGTCTTAAATTTTTTGTTTTTGTGTTTGCTACAACTTCAGTAACTCAGTTAGTCAATGAACTTAACGGCGCATATGTAATATTGTTAACTTTGCGAAAATTAATATTTTACAAATATGGAGGGACAAGTTTTGCAGCGGCTACCATTTTTTGCGGTTACATGGTACATGATCGACCTCCAGGGAAAAGATGTGTATATGAATACAAGGACTAACTTTTATTACAAAAATGTTATATAACACGGCGTAGGTACAAAGTTATTAAGAGTGAAAATTCGAAAAAGACAAAATAAATTGTATGATTGTTTCTATTTTTACCGACTTAGTGTACTTTTTTAAACGCCAGCAATAACACGAACGCTCTGCATTCTTATACATAGTTATTACTAGAAAGTATACGAAGAAAAAATACGTCTTGTGTATATGAAAAACAACTCAGATTTATTAGTATTAAAAAGTCCTTCAAAAGTTAAAATTACGTGGATTTGTCCATATATAGTTTATTAGATATTGTTATTTTTATATTTCGATCACATACAAGTTTTTGCCGACTGCACGTAAGACGCTTTACGTGTCTCTTTTTCCGCAAACTTCGATAAGTCTAACATTTTTGTGACTGTTTTTTTGCGTTGCGCACAAAGGAACGACTCGTGCGGAAAAATATCTCGGAGACGGAGATAAGAGAGCGAATTGAGAACAAAGAGATTCCATTACTAGGCACAATGAAATATACCTCATGACGTCGATGCCGGGCGCGTCTCGTACACGTTAATTAATAAATCTCGATGGACTAGTCGATCGTCTGCGTGTCGCAATTTCCTACAGGATTCCACGCTCGTCGTCAGCTCCAATTTGCCAAAATCAAGCTGACACGTCGCGTAATCGCCCCGACTAATCGCTCATTCACTAATGGATTTATGATTTCAGTCATTGCTGAAAATGAACGCGGTTATTTCTCGCATATTTCTTCGCATATTCGCGCTTGTAACACAGCTAAATAACGTTAAGAATTTTATCTCGGAAATAAATATATATAAATATAAACTTTCGCTAATGCATACTCCGCGTTTGACCAAACAGGATCACTACAATATTTAAAGTTTAAATAATATTTCTTCTTATTTATCAGTGATAAATTTAAATATTTTGATAGAAAATTTAAAAGAGATATTCTATAAAAACATAGATCAATCTTAATTATAAAATTGTGCGTATTTTATTTAAAAACTTTGAGAAACTGAGAGAGATGATGAGTATGTGTTTCTTTATCTCTTTTTTACAGAATAAGGGGAATAAGTCTTTATTAATTGTGCGTTGCAATTGTCGCGAATTACACTCATCTATCGTAGACATAGTTACGCAGCACGACACAATTCCCATGATCATAGTATTCTATCAGTATTTTTATTATTCTCAGTCAGCAAAGATATTCTTGATGCCTTATTCATTTGATGCAATTAAAAAGACGAGAGCTGAACTTTGAAAGCTGAAAAGTTACCATATTGTTTTTTTTTGTTTGGTGTTTCTCTTGATGTTATATTTTTTGCATCATTACCTTTCTCTCTTTCTTTGTGCTTTTAGGGATCTGCGTCCAGTGAGCTTGGAGAAAGGTCAGGAGACTCTCAGGTTACGGGTATACGCTTGTTATGCCTGGGGTGGGCCTTTATTGGTAGCTGGTCTCGCAGCTCTCTTGGATCACTTACCGCCCCAACCGCATTATACGTTCCTGAGGCCCCGTTTTGGCGAGAAACAGTGCTGGTTCTACGGTAAAGTCCTGCTTAACAATAAGATAAAAGTCTCTTCATCATTTCTGATTGTTTTGTAGGCGCGCACTGTTCATCAACATTCTCCAATTTTTGTCAACAATCACGAATCTTCAGATTTACATCTATAAGAAATATTAAACATTTATAGACTTACTTATGTACAAATATATTACTCTATACAGTGTATGTATGTACTTTGACACATATAATACTACTTTTGTTTTCTTTGTGTACATCATATGCAGATCATATTTCTAAAACTGGCTTTGTCACACAAGCTTTCACTTACTAGTCATTAGTTGATAACGGACTCACAGTCAAATTCAACACTATGCGTGTAACTTGTTTTATTCTATTATTGTGACATGATATGGTTACATGACATGAAAATTTAGACCAAGAAATATATAAGGCCTTACGAGCCGTTTCCAGGATGTTGAGCGGAAACTGTACGTGTATATATATATACACATGTAACGAATTCAACTTGTAAATTTTTGCAAGTGAGTATTTTTTGAATTGAAATCTCAATTCTTAAATTCATACGGGATGCTGGATTTGCATCTCACATATGAGAGACCCCGGATACTCCCCTAACTAATTTTAAAATATTGTGAAAAAAACTCCTCGGCCAGGAGTCGAACCTGGAATCTCCGGCTTTCCGTGCCATGGAGATTCCAGGTCCTTGGCTTTGATCTTGACCATGTCCTTTAAGGTCATTTCAAGGTCAACCTTATTTTTTTAAATGGAACCTTCTACATTTTATTGCATATTTTTATAGCTTATCTCGAGAGCTTTCCAAAACTATAATAAAACATTTTTTCATTAAGTACTTTTTGAGTTATAAAGGTTTGAAGTTAACAATTTTTTGACACAAAATGTAAAATATTTTGTAAAATATTATTTAGTTTTGAAGCCGTACAACTTTGCTATTGGACATTTTTCCAAAATGCATTCTTACTGAAAATATTAGGGGGATCCGACACTTTTTGATTAATGTATTTTCTTCAAACCAATTAATTGGTCTCATTTTTCCGCGCACAAAAGTATTAAGGTGTTATGATTACTGAAAACTAAATAATATTTTACAAGATATTTTACATTTTGTGTCAAAAAATTGTTAACTTCAAACCTTTAAAACTCAAAAAGTACTTAATGAAAAAATATTTTATTATAGTGTTTTGGAAAGCTCTCGAGATAAGCTATAAAAATATGCAATAAAATGTAGGTTTTATTTAAAAAAATAAGGTTGACTTTGAAATGACCTTAAAGGACATGGTCAAGATCAAAGTCAAGGTCATCATCTTACTTCTCGCTTGAAACCATACAACTTTGCTATTGGACATTTTCTCCAAAATGCATTCTAACTGAAGATAGGGGGGTCCGATACTTTTCGATGACCCTGTACACAGTTTGTCCGGAAAGTTCCCGGACTGATTTTTTCTAGCGCGGGTAAGCGGCGCTATCGAGCGGTCAACGCTGGAACTACTTAGTAT